GAAAAACATTTTAGAAAAAATCATTTAAAAGAATGTTTTTAAAATTTTTTAAAATTTATTTGTTGTTATTGAGGTCATAAAAGCAAATGCACATATAACAGAGCACCTCAAAAATAAAAAAATTAAAACTGACTAAACATAAAATTATTCTATTTGAAAACAAGTGGAAGCTATTTTTAGGCATTTTATTATATAACTAAATTTTAGCATTCATCACTTAAATTAGGTCTTTTTTTGAATTCAACAAAGGTATTGTTTCCCGATTACGCAACTGCATTCGTATGTTAACGTTGTTCAAGTTATCTTCTTTATTTAATTCTTATTCATTAAATGACATTCTAAAAAGTATATTTTTATGAAAGTCTTGATTTTTGTATAAAAGTTTAAAACTGAAACTTATCAATATCATTAAAAAAATTAGTATTTTAATTACTTAGTTATTTATACGTGTTAGATTCATAAAACGTAATTAAATATATTTATTATGCCGCGTTTCGTAAGTTTTTTTTCATAAAGAACTGTTTCGCAAGTTGTGGTGCGAAAGAGTTTCGTTTCGAAAGAAATTTGTTTTTTTATCATTATTTCAAAAAATGAAACCTAAAAATGTTCAAATGTTGCAATACTGAAAATAAAATTTTATTATAAACATTTTGGTATATAAAAATTTTATTTTTTACAAATATATCCTTTTGGCCAACGAAATTTGTTTATTGACTTCAAAACGTCGTTTAGCGAAAGAGCTCGTTTTGCAAGTGCACATTCCTTAAGCGCTACTTTAGTATGTAAAAAAAAAATAGTTTTATTTCGTAATTCAACTTGCGAAAGGCTACATTTCTTTAGTAGCATTTGCAAAAAGAACATCGACGGTTTTTTTTGTTTCGTAAAATTCAGTACGAAAAAAAAAAGTTCCTGATTCTCAATATCCTTACGAAAGAATTTTGTTTTTCCGGAATTGTACGAAATCTTCAGGTTAACAACTGTAGTTAAAACTTGGTTATTTTATATTTTTATTTACAATGCAAATAATTTGTAAATAATGAAAGTATAAAATACTTCACTGCAGCTGCTAATATCATAAAACCGTTGTTCAAATTTAAAGCACCTAATAAAAATTTTATTCTTTACGAATGGCCTCGATTTAGTAAATAGAGTTTCTAAATTTTTATCTCGAAACTTTAATATTTGTCAGCATACTATCATTATTAGTTGTCATAAATAAGTTTAAAAGTTTCTGTCTAGATAAATTGTCTTTTTTTCAAACTAAAGCACGTAGCTTGTTAAATTAAATTTTTTATTGACAATTTACTCATAGCAAACTTTAAATTTAAAATAAGTTAAGTAGCAACTATCAGATTAAATAATTTTCTTTTTTCTTTTCATATTCCCAAAACAAAAGTTTTTTAAACTTTATATTTTTAAAAGTTTTTTAAATTTTATACTCTTTTAAAACATGCAGCCTATATAGCTTTTAATAAAGTTTTTATTATTACAAACTATTTCATAGATTCATGTTTATTTTTTTTTATAAAAAACCTGTATATAAGAAACTAGTACAAGAAGCCCCAAAATCTTCAAAAAAGTTACTTTTCAATAAAAAACTTATTTTATTACGAGTTTGAGGAATATTTCCTAACTTTTCACTCTACATATCACACCAACATAACACGAAGTATTATGTTGGTGTGATATGTAGAGTGAAAAAAACTTTTTACAAGTTTTTTAACACAACTTAACAACATAAGTTATAAACCAAAAGATCATTTGGTTTATAACATAAAATTTAATAAGAGATGAATTTATTCAAAATTTTTGTTTACTTATAAAATAATTCGATAATTTTTAAAATTGATCTGGTAATATTTACATTAAATAAAAATCAAGTTAACATAACAATATTAACATTCCACACACATTTGAAAGTTTAATCCGCAAATAAACAAAGCAATCTTAATGCTTCCTAAACATCTATAACTGAAACTCGTGTTTTATTAGGGCATGAAAAAATTCACTCTACAATTGGACGTCTATTGAACGTATAGATTTTTACGTGGACAAATGTTGAATTGTCAATGCATTATCTGATGCACACGTGGTTGTCCCATCAGCTTTTCCATATATATATATATATATATATATATATATATATATATATATATATATATATATATATATATATATATATATATATATATATATATATATATATATATATATATATATATATATATATATATATATATATATATATATATATATATATATATATATATATATATATATATATATATATATATATATATATATATATATATACATATATTGTATTTAACAGTTTTATAATTGAAAATGATTATTATATAATCGAAACATGTGGTTGAAACTGAAAAAAATTGTTATATTTATTAGACTTATTACAAAATTTATGCTATTACGACCATGGTTTTTTTTGTGTACAATATTATTGGTTTAAAATAAGAATATTTTGACACCCAGTAAACACATAAAGATTTTATTTATATTTATTACTGTTATTATTTTATAAACTTTTCTTTTTAAACAACATTTAGACCTTTTTAAAAAAATTACACTGCTATTTATTTGAATTGTTAACTTCTAAAGCTCTGTTTGGAGTATATTTAAATATATTTTTAAGCTTATTATTCATAGAAAAAAAAACTTGTAGCTATCATTGTTGGACAAATTTGTGTCATCAATAAACTTGCACTCATACAATTTGAAGCTTAATTCATATTATTTATATAAATAAAAAGAGAAAATGGCCCTAAAACGGAACTTTGAAAAATACCACGGAAAATAATTTAAAACTTTTCACGATAACCATTATCAATAAAAATAAAATATTTATGGCTGGATAAATAACTTCTTAACCAATTTATGATTTCTCAGTTTATCGAATAACTCCGATAGATTGTTGAAATTAACCAAGTAAGGCACCTGCACTTTTTTAGCCGACGTAACTGCATTGGATTTTCAGTCTAGCCAACTTAATTTTGTGTTCGTAAAACATTGTTGTAGTTTACTTTTCTTAAGATGATGTCAAACGAAGAAAAAACGCTGTTTACCTAATGATTTCTAAAGTTATTGAAGATTACGTATATTTTGTTAATAAACCAACCATGATATATGTCACCACAGCTTTGGATAATAAAAATCCTTGTTTATTTTTTAACGCCAAATTTGCAAATAAAGTATTATTTTAGACAGATTTTTAAATATTAAATTAGAATTAATTAAATAATGTCATCAATGTAAGTAGTGACAACATATGGATAAATAAAATGATTATATATGATTATATTCATTTTATTTACATTCGGTATTTTTTAAAAAAATGTTTTTTAAATTAGAAAGCTATTGAAAAAAGCTCTTAAATTTTAACTGTACGTAAACGACATAAGTTTTTTTACATCATCTGACATATAAACATTTATGTTAAAAGTGAATACTAAATCCAATATTATTACATTTTAAGTAGTGGTTTTCGTTGAGCAAAATTTATAACAATAATAAAATAAACTTTTTTTTTTTTTTTGTTCTTATTACGATATATTATGGTATAAATATCGTTGTACATTAAACATCAGAACACGGAGACTCATAGATGGATTGTAAGATCCTGTCACTGAGAACCGTTTAACAATGCAGTAAAAATATAACCATTTAAATAATTACAATAAATGACGTTTAGAAATAAAATTTAAATCTAACCAGATATTTCAAAATATAAAATAAAGTTATAAATTTTATTTTTGTAGATTTATGAAAGCTGTCTGAAAAGTTTAGCTTTGAATGAAAAATTAAACTATTAAAATAACTCTGTCAAGTATTTTTTACACTAATTAAAGGTGTTGCTAATATTATGAATACTGCCAAAAAAATCATTAGAATGGCAATTCTATCATAATATATTGCACAGCTGGTATTTTTTAACAACAGTTATTAAACTTAGTATTTCATAATCCTTAACTACTATGGAGTTTATTGCTTTCCAAAACAATACTAATTTTTGTTGCAAAATGTAATCAGTATAGGGGTTAATATCATATAAAGTGATGACAATAATTCATTCAGCACAAAAAAAGACTTTACTTCGGTAACTACCAAAAAGCTGAAAATAAATTGTTAATACGGTTCAAAAATAATAGAATGAAGGCAAAACCTGAAAATTATCACCTAATCATTAGCAAACATAGTAACCTAGAAGTTACTATTTCCAATCGAACAATTAAAACCATCCAAAAATGTTAAATTACTTGGTATAAAACAAGTTTCCTTCAAACAACAACAAGTTTCCTTCAAAAAGCATGTGTTCACATGCTTTTTGAAGGAAATTTGTTGTTGAGTTTTATTCCGATTTATTTAATTTAACCTTTTTTGCAATCTTTATAGCAATCTAAATGCAAATACGCCCGCAGAAAAGTAAACGCACTTTCAAGAGTCGCATCATATAAGTCTTTCAAACGACGTAAACACCTATACTTTCCACATTTATAACTTCAAACTTCTTATACTTCCTACTTATATAAATGTTTCACAGTAAGAAACTAAATAAGCTTATAAATCAAATCCATGAGATAGCTATTAGCAGAGCCGGCGCGAGTAGATGTCACGTGGGGGGTAGGGGGGTGCCATTACAACTTTTGCCGACTAAAAAAAAAAAAAAAGGGTCCTCGTTTTCCAAATTTTGCCGACTGCCATGACGATATTTTGCCGACTGTCTAACCTATAACTAGAAAGTCGACATTTGCCGACTAGTCTAAAAGGGTCTAATTTGCCGACTAAAAATCATTGATGGGGGGGGGGAGGGGTGTCACACCCCCTGCACCCCCTATCGCGCCGGCCTTGGCTATTAGAATTATCTACAAAGACTTTTAATCTCCATTTTAGACTCTCTTACTAAACATTTACTAACTATTCCATTTGAGAATTTCTTGCTAAACTCTCTTATAATAAAACAAATAAATAAAATAAATAAATACCAAATAACATAAGCCGTGGTTTGTGCGGCCTTGGCGGAGTGGTTAAAGCGCTTACTTTATAACCAGGAGATCCAGGTTCGAAACGAGCTTTGGACATATTTCGCGTCAGGGTATGAAGGAGGCGTGAAGTTTCTGGATAAATGCACTTCCACGGTGCTCTGTGACAAAACCGTTAGGACTTCTTGGGGCACCTAAATAACAAATAAAAAATAAAAATAACACAAAAATGTGTTTTTCCCATGCTGTTGATGCTACTTATGTAACGCGGTTGGTTTGATAACAAATTAAATGCAGTTACGTTAGCTAACGCAAACTGTGGTTAGCCGAATTACATATCCTATGTAGGTGCCAACTAATGCAAAATCTTTTATTCTATGTATTAACATAACTGCTAAACGTTAATACTAAATATGTCTCAACGATTATTCTAGCGAAATATGGACAACGTCGGCGATAACCCAATGAGTAGACAACTATAAACAACTATGCCAATTCAGCTTACATATAGCCTAATTTTAAAATTTGTCAATATAAACTATAACTAAATAAAATTTATACAACTAATTCTTAACCCAACCACTTAATCACGGACCTTCATGATTTGTTTTTTAAAAGCCAATAGCCTAAACTTTCAACTAACCGCTACCCAACGAACAGTTTCGACTATTAATGATGTGCAGTGGTTAAAGTTCTGACTCAAAAGGGTCCGAGGTTTGACGCCGGCTAAATTGGTTTATCAAACCTATGTGTCCTTTTCCAAGTTATTAAAACAAGATATTTTAATAGAAAATTCCATAAAGTAGATTTTTGGCAATAGTTAAAATAATTGAGAATATGCAATAGGGGAGTCCCGGATAACGATTTTTAAATATCCGACCGGATATCAAATACCCAGATAATTAAAAATTATCCGGCCGGATAATGTAAATCAAATCCTAAAATACTTTTTATTTATATATTCAAAATACTGCCTTGATAAACTTTCAAAATGGCGAGTTTTATTTGGATGCTTTTTAAAAATATTGATAGTTGTGATTCTACAGTAATTTGAGTTCCATGAGGAAAGCAGATGAGTAGGGAATGTAATAAAATGGTCAGAAGTCATTTTACACATTTCCACTGCATATTCACCCTAAATATTTTATTATAAATGGTATGAAGAGGGAAAAAAAATTAATATTGAACAAAAATTAATATTGAATTAATATTAAATTAATATTCTTCAGCTACACAAGAAAGTTTAAATGTATTGAATCCTAATAAAGTCTTCCTTGTAAGAGCTACTCAAGAAGTTGATGCTTTCTATACTCATTTATAGATAAAATCACTCAATTATAGATAAAATCACTCAATTATAGATAAAATCACTCAATTATAGATAAAATCACTCAATTATAGATAAAATCACTCAATTATAGATAAAATCACTCAACTATAGATAAAATCACTTAATTATAGATAAATTAATGGCGTTTTAAACTATTAGAAACACAAACAGAAGATTCCACTTCCTAATAAGTTAGCGCTTAAGTTACTAGGATTACCTTTGTATTTTTAGAAAGATTGTTTTCAGAATATGGAAATATTTATGAGAAAAAACCATCAAGGTTGTTAATTCAACGTAGAATTTTTTTTTATTTATACATTATAATGCAAATAATTTAATAGGTTGGTGGTAAACTAATCTATTTTTTGCGCATTTAAAATTTTGATAGTATTTTAATATTAATAATAACAATATTGAATATTAACATTAGATTATTTAAAAGTATAACATTTCAAGAGTTTTTAAATCTTTTAATTTTCAAACGACATTAACATGAAATATCCGTTTTATCAAAAGCCGGATAAATTTATTATCCTGCTAGATACCGGATATCAAATAATACTGCCATCCGACCCGGGTGTTCGGCCGGATAGCTTATCTGGGACACCTTTAATATGCACAGATAAATTAACATATGTTGTTTTCAGGTTAGTTAAAATTATATTCATATTTGAAAACCTAAAGTGTATTCATATTTTTTGACCAATGACCTTTTTTTTCCATATAAAATAGGGATGTCACGGAGGTATATCGGAGGTGTTACGAAAGTTTCAAACTTAGTTTACTAAAATCGAAATATTTTGTAGTATATAAAAAAGAAGCTTCGAAGCTTCAAATCATGCTTCGATAGGTTTAGAAAGCTTTGATTGATTTTCTCAAGTTTTATTAACTTAAATTAGAAATTATGACAAAAATCAAATGCGAAAATGTAGCGCATTCTATCGAACTTGTGATTTTTGATTCAAGACAACTTTGTTTCGGTATTTTTATTTTTTAAATTTAAACTAAAACATTTATTTGTTTATAATTTCGTTTATAAGTTGTTTATAAACTGGAAATTGAAAGTATTAGTTTAAACCTCAGGCTCCAATAAACCTCCGCTACACATCCGATATATTATTAATATATGATAACTAGTATATTGAAATAATTATTTATAGATTTTTTTAATATTTTATTAATTTTTAAAGAGTTTTTATTAGAGTTGTTAACCGGAAGATTTCGTTCAATTTGGGAAAAAAAAATTCTTTCGGAAGGTTATTGAGAAAAAGGACTTTGTTAGGATTTTGAGCATTTTTGCAAAATAAATCTGGTTCATTACAATTTTTTCTGATTTTTTTTTTTTTCGTACTGAATTTTACAAAACAAAAAAAACCGTCGATGTTCATTTCGCAAATGCTCTTTACGAAATATAGCATTTCGCAAGTCGAAATAAAACTATTCTGCTACATGCGAAAGTAGCGCTTACGGAAGTCTCACTTGCAATACGAGCTCTTTCGCTAAACGATGTTTTAAAGTCTATGAAAAATTTTTATTGACGAAACGGATATAATTGTAAAAAATTAAATTTTTACATACCAAAATGTTTATAAAAAAATTTTATTTTCAGTATTGCAACATAAACATTTTAGCGTTTTACTTTTTGAAATAATGATAAAAAACCAAATTTCTTTCAAAACGAAACTCTTTCGCACCACAACTTGCAAAACAGTTTTTATCGGAAAGAAATTTACAAAACGCGGCATATAAATATATTTAATTATGTTTTATGAATCAAATTCGTATAATTAACTAAGTAATTAAAATACTAATTTTTTATATGATATTGATAAGTGTCAATTTTAAACTTTTATAAAAAAATTAAGACTTTTATCAAATATACTTTTTAGAATGTCATTTAATGAATAAGAATTAAATAATGAAGGTAGCTTGAACAACGTTAACCTGCAAATGCAATTTCGTAATCGGGAAACAATACCTTTGTTGAAATCAAAAAAAGACCTAATTTAAGTGATGAATGCTAAAACTTAGTTATATAATAAAATGCCTAAAAATAGCTTCTACTTGTTTTCAAATAGAATAATTTTATGTTTAGTCAGTTTTAATTTTTTTATTTTTGAGGTGCGTTTCGCTTATATTATTTTAATATGCGCTTTCGCTTTTATTACCTCAATAACAAAAAGTAAGTTTAAAAAAATTTTTAAGTCATCCTTTTTTATAATTTTTTCTAAAATGTTTTCCTTTATAAAAAAAAACAAAAAAAACAAGACAATGTAGGAAGGCGGAAATGAGCATTTGTTGCCCCTTGTACCATTGGCCCAAATGTTTTGATTTTCAACATCCCAACGTTACTGGGCAACTGCTGAAAGTTTTAAACCTCTAGTTATTTTGGAGAGCAGTAAAAAATTAGTTACAAGATTTTGTAACAAAAAAGCGGACACGTACAATACGACACTTCCCCGGGTCTTCGCTCCTGGAAACAATTTTAACATAGAAGCTCACCAAAACTATACAAGCGCTGAAAGTTTCAGAGCTGTAGATAGCTTGAAAGGTAGTAATAAATTATTTACAAGATTCAGTAAGAACTGACAATAACCAACAAACACTTAAACTTCAATTAAACTTTGTAATGAAATCAAATATTTTACTATGTCTTTATATTTGAGAATATAAATAGTATACCTGCTAAGCCAAAGGCAATAAACAACCAAAAGTCGGAAGTTAACCAAAGTCGGTACTTGATAAATATAAATACATATAAACACTGGCAAAGAGACATATTGCAGAGGGAGCGACGAATTTTTTTAAACTTCCTATTTTTAAATTAAACTTCCTACGTTGTGAAACAATATTATTGTTAAAAGTGGAATATGATTGATTAACTTTAAATTATGAAAATACCTCGATGTTTAATTAAAAATTGTTACTACAATGATTGTTCTTTCAAAAATGACGTATTTTAATTTCGTTCTTTCTCCAGCTACGCTATTATAACTCCTTGGTATTATTACGAAATGATTTATTTCGCAAGTTTCTTTTCGTAAAGAGTTATTACGGAATTATTATTATTATTTTTTTTTCGTTTAATGCGTTACCGAAGGTAAATTTGCGCATTTATAACTTGAAATACGAAAGATAAAAATGCGAAATTTTCGTAAGTTTTTGTTTACGGCAAACATCCCTAGTTTATATAGGTCAGGGCAATAACATCCGTTTTTGCCATGTATAATAACATCCGTGCAACAACATCCCAAATTTCATTGATGAATAATAACATCCGTGCAATAACATCCCAAATTTCATTGATGTATAATAACATCCGTGCAACTACATCTGTAGATTTTTCGGATGTAACTACATCCGATTTTTTTAAATGCATAATTTTAACCAGATGTAGTTAAACATCAGATTTTTTTCGGATGTAACTACATCCGCCAAAAAAAAAATATTATAATGCATTCTTTTAAGCATAATAAATTTTTTTTTAATTATTTGATAGACTGCCTGCCCAAACCAAACCCTCAGTCGATGTAGCAGGTGATGTAGCAGCACTTTTATAATATAATAATTATATATGTAACTACATACGGAATTTTTTTTTTAATAATGTATAATTTTAACCAGATGTAGTTACGCATCTGATTTTTTTCAGATGTAACTACATCCGGGAAAAAAGTAATTTAAAAATGCATCATTTTAACCAGATATAATTACACATCTGATTTTTTTCGGATGTAACTATGTCCGGAAACTTATTTTATTTTTTATTTTATTTTTAATAATGCATTATTTTAGACGGATGTAGCTACACATCGAAAAAACTCTCGGATGTAGTTACATCTTTCTAAAGATGATATAAACATT